TGCCTTTGATCAAGATCCCTTCAATATCAATGCAAGGCTTTGAAGGGAAAAATCTTGCTATAGCAGTGTATGCACTAACTGGGCCATAATTTATATACAGTACTAATGCATTTATATTTATTGTACTACAAGCCTTATTAACACTGTGGAAGAAAAATAAATGCATGCTTATACAAAATTGGAACAGTATAACATTTATCCAGGTTAAAGGGAAAATTTGTGCTTCCAAAATCAACAACACAAGAGAAGTTAAAAAAAAAAACAATAAGCAACTTGATTCAGTGATTAATACAGTAGTAAATTCTGGAGAAAATTATATTCAGGGTGTTCAAAAAATGATGCAACCCATGAAAAATGGTTGATAATTAGCAGTAAATTGCATAAATGCAATGGCCACTAAGATTTCACATAAACGTACACAATAAATCATACTACCGAACACTTTCTTTAAAGTCTTTATTGATATGCTATCTACTAATACAGTGAACGTTGACCTTCCAGTGTATGAGACTGATTTAAATAAACAGTATTCCTAAAAAATCCAATAGGCTAATATCTATTTTGATGGTTATAATCCTTTTAAAATTAACTGTCCATACATGAGGACTTAACTAATCCAAAAGGTGTGGAAAGTCGAAAAGTCATTTTCTATAGGTTGTATTTCTTGTTTTGAACACACTGTATATGGCACATCATGCAAAATAACCACAGGGAGGAGTTGAATGATAGCTCTAGGCCAGGGATGGGGAACTTTTTTACGTCGGAAAGCTTCATTAAAGTTAGCTGTAATCTAATGAGGCTGCATTCAACCATCCCCACATGGTTGTTTTTCACCTTTTATTACTTGTCTGCAATTACTGCATATACATCAAAAAATTCAACAAAATCAACATGCAAAAATAAAAGTCAATGGCATAAACAATCCCACATGAATGCAAAACAAAAAAAGTAATGTATATTTCAGCTTGACATCATGACCTTTCTCAGCTAACTAAACAGTTTATACAAGATGAACCTTGTTTACAAACAATATCTTACTCTTGAAGAAGGTTCACTGAGGCTGCAGAAGATTTTTTTTTTTTTTTTTTGCAATGAAGCTGACCCAAATTTTTTCCCCTTCTTTTAGTCAAAAGTGGGTCATGATAAAACCCAAAAAAATCCGAACTTTGCTTTTTCCTAAAATACAAATACCCAATTAACCCCAAATCCCCAGGGGGGGGGGGGGGGAAAAATAAATTTAAAAAGGGGGGTGGGGGGGGGGGGTTAGCAAACCCTATAAGAAGTCGTTTCCCTTTTTTACAAAATTTCCCTATGTTTAAGTTTAAATGAAAATTACACATGCCCAAATTAGCCCCTTTTAAAAAATAGGAAGCTCTTCATCTTCTCTTAGCTTGAAAGACCCAAAAATTAAGGGTTTTTTTTGGGCCATTCTAAGCCGTTAATAAAAAACCTGTAAAAACCAAATCTGCAGATACGGGGATTCTACTGCACTCTCCCAAATTTTTTACTATTGTCTCTGGTATATATTTTAATTTTAATTTAAAGTCCTGGAGGGGAAATTTTAACATCACAGGACTTTAAATTTTTTCTTTTTTTAAAGAAAAATTTAAGGCCATTTGCAAAAAGTAAAATCTTGTCTTTTGAAAAAGAAATTTTTTTTTTTTTTTTTTTTTTTTTTTTTTTTTTTTTTTTTCAAAAAAGGGGGTCGGCCGTCCCCCCCGAGGCAGGGGCCCCAAAAAAAAGAAAAAAAATCCCCAAAAAAAAAATTTTTTCTTCATCTTTCAACTTTTTCCCACCACACTCGCACTTTATCACTGTTTTTGCAGAGGTCCCCTCAAAAAACAGTCTAGAAGATACACATAAAAGATACAAAAAACATATCCCCTAAAAATGCCCAAAATCCCAAAAACCCCCCCTTTAAATTTCAGGATTGTACTTCCCATTTCCGGACTCGAAATCCGACTATATGAAAATAAACCCGGTTTTCCCCGAATCCCCTTACAAATATTACCCCGCTCACACTCCAACAGATTTGTCAGGGCCCCCCGTACCTTCGGGCTCCATTCACTTCCCCATCTAAAACGCCACGCACGCTTGCTGGAAGTCCAAGCCCCTTACCCAAAAACCTCCTTTTCCCCCTCTCTCCCAACCCCTTTTGAGGACGACCCCTAAAACCCCCCTTCCTTCCCCATAGATTTTTATTTTGCTTTCCCTGTCCCTTTAAATTTGTTCCTTTTCTCTAAATGACCAAACCACCCCAACAAAACCCCCTTTTTGCCCCCCTGACTAATTTTCTTTTTTTAAATCCAACCTCCTAAATTTTCCCCCCTCCCGAATTTTTTTCAAATATTTACCCCCAACATTGCCCTTAAAAAGGACATCTCCACTGCCTCCAACCGTCTCCCGCTGCTGCATTTAACCACCCCAAACTTCACAAAAACCCCTATAAAAGTGTTGGTTTAAATACTATACTTTCATACCTTTCCCTTCCCTTTTCCCCATGATAAAGTTTTTTGACTTCCCCCCATTACCTCAATTTACCATTTACCCTTTTTTTCCCCCCTCAATTCTATGATTAAAATCATCCTTCATAAAACCACCCCCGACACGTCAACTCCCAAGTATCTGAAAACATTCACTTCTTCCATACTCCTCCTCCCCAATTTGATATCCAATTTTTTCTTTATCTAAATCATTTGACACCCTCATCACCTTACTCTTTTCTATTTTTCACTTTCAACTTTCTACCTTTACACACATTCCCAAACTCATCCACTAACCTTTGAAATTTTTTCTTTAGAATCTCCCATAAGCACAGTATCATCAGCAAAAGTAACTGTGTCAATTCCCATTTTGAATTTGTTTCCCCATATTTAATCCCACCCCTCTCCCAAACACCCTAGCATTTACTTCCTTTACACCCCATCTATAAATATATTAAACAACCATGGTGACATACACATCCCTGTCTAAGACCTACTTTTACCGGGGAAATAGTCTCCCTCCTCTTCTACACACCCTAACCTGAGCCTCACTATCCTCATAAAAACTCTTTGCAGCATTTTAAAAACTTACCACCTATTCCATATACTTGCAACATCTGCCACATTGCTCCTCTATCCACCCCTATCAATGCCTTTTCTAAATCCATAAATGCAATAAAAACTTCCCTATCTTTTTCTAATACTGTTCACATATATGCTTCAATGTAAACACCTGAATCTACACATCCCCTACCCACTCTAAAACCTCCTTGCTCATCCGCAATCCTACATTCTGTCTTGCCTCTAATTCTTTCAATTATAACCCTACCGTACACTTTTCCTGGTATACTCAGTAAGCTTATTCCTCTATAATTTTTACAGTCTCTTTTGTCCCCTTTCCCTTTATATAAAGGGACTATACATGCTCTCTGCCAATCCCTAGGTACCTTCCCCTCTTTCATACATTTATTAAACAAAAGTACCAACCACTCCAATTATATGTATATAATGCCCAGTGTGTACACTTGTACTGTACTCAAGCCAGATTAAGATTTTGTAGTCCCCTGGGCTACAGGTACTGTGAGGCCCCCGGGAAAAAAATATAATCGCAATAGTTCATCATATACGTGATGTAATAACATAATGTAATTATAAACTTACAGCAGTAACTGTGAACACTTTCCACTTAATCTCTGAAGTCCCTCCAGCTGGTGGAGGCCCCTGGGATGCAGCCCCTAAAGCCAATACCTTAATCTGGCCCTGATTTTTACTAGGGACATTTTTAATATTTTATAACTACATATATCATTGAAAATTATTGTGTATAGCTGTATTAGGAACATTTTTATATTGTTTAACTCTACTAGGCACTTGTTTTTATACATGTATAGCTGTAGCTAATGTGTGTAAGTCCATTCACCTATTTGTACTAGCCTATTTGTGGCTGCAGGAATCGATTCTCAGACTGGTTGTTTTCCGCTTAGGTAGACTAAAAAAAAAGAGGAGGAGACAGCAACCATCATTCATTCAGTCGCTCTACTGATAGAAGTATGCTGATATCGCAGTTCAAGAAACCCTCTAAACTGCAACATCATCACCCCTCCTTCAGAAGGCAGGCACTGAATTTCCCACCTCCAGGGCTCAAGTCTGGCCAACCAGTTGCCTTAAATTCATTCATAAATGTTACTTGCACGTTCTCCAACAGCAAACCAAGTCACAAACACCGCTAGTCTCCACACTGATTTAGTGAGTTCACACCTGCCTGTTGGATGTTCAAGCCCCTAGCACTTAAAGCCTCCTAAATATATTTATATACTTGTATGAATGCCATTCTGAGATGTTACCAGGAACTCTTGCTGTATCTGGCAGTTTTGAAACTGCTAACTGCTGGAACAAAATACCATATTTCACGACTCATTAGACGCATTTTTTCCTTAGAATATCTCCAAAAACCACCCTGTGTCCTATAAACCGAAGGTCAGTGATGGGAGCTATAAGTTTGGGTTGTGGGATGGGCTGTAGCTCTTCCAGTTACATCCGATGCTGAGAAATTGAAACTAAAACAAGTCTTATAAGCTGCATCTTATAAGCCATGAAATACAGTAGGTTGCCAAAGGCAGAAATGGGCAATGATACACAAATAACCCACACACAGATATTACTAGTTAATGATCCTAGTCAGACCAAAACATCATCATAAGTTTTATTCTGCCCGAAATACTCGTGCATGATAGTGACTTTCCTTTATGTTTACAATATTATACTATGTATAAACTATACATTGTATATTATGCACAGAAATAAATTTTTGAATTTAAATGTGAGAGTTATTTCTGTATTGCTCCAGTCATGCTATTGTGACTTTTATGTGCAGTGATGTGAAGAATGCAAATTAAAAAATAAATTCTGTGGTGTCCTGTCTTGCATCTCTGTAGCATCGCATGATTACGAAGCCATTTTCAATGTTCTTGACTAATTCTGATCTTTGATATATCCTGTCATTGAATTCTGTGCATGTTTCCCTCGGAGCTTCTCGAAGGTAACGGTAAGTTTACTTTTCTACTTTGAACTTGTACATCATTGAATGTTTGTACGGCTTCCCAGGATGATACACATCACTTGGGAAATTATCCTGAAAAATAAGAAAATTGACATTAAGATATAGAAGACTTGCCAAAATAAATTTTGTTTCCTAAGCATATTAATAATCAAAAAAGCCATTAACAGTCTACTTCACTGATAATTACAATGAGGCCTAATGGTATTAACCCTTTCAGGGTTGGAACCCCCTGATCTCAAACTTGCTCTCAGGGTTGGAGAATTTAAATAAAAAAAATATTTTCCTATGAAATGAGAAAATACACAAATAACCCACACATAGAAGAGAGGAACTTACGACAAAGTTTTGGTCCGCCTTGGACCATTTACAAAGTCACACTAACGAGAAGGAGAGGAGGATGGGTATATATAGGCAGGAGGTGGTAGTGGCAGTAGTGGAGGTGGAAGGAAGTAGTAGTGGGGAGGTAGTATGAGTAAGAGGGGGCCAATAAAATACTAAGAAAGAGGAGCGCTGCAAGGGAGCTGGTGCCCACAGAGGGTAAGAGCAAGAACACAGAGGGGGGAAAACAAATAAGTAAATAAAGAAGGAACAAATACACAGGGCAGAAGAAAGACAACTCAAAGGAGAAAAAGGAAAAAGGAAAGGGGAAGAGGGAGAAGAAAAAAGGAGGAATCAGGTTAAGTCACGGGTGTTCTGATGTTTGGAGCATTTTACAATGTAGTGGGAGAGGAAGGCATCTACAGAGACGAAGCCGGGACTAAGATTCATACAAGGAAAGTTCTTGCTCTTACCCTTTGTGGGCACCAGTTCCCTTGCAGTGCTCCTCTTTCTTAGTAGTACATATTTGATTGGCCCCCTCCTACTCTTACTACCTCCCAACTACTACTTCCTTCCACCTCCCCTACTACCACTACTATTACCACTACCACCTCCTGCCTATATATACCCATCCTCCTCTCCTCATTAGTGTGACTTTGTAAATGGTCCAAGTCGGACAGAAACGTCGTTGTAAGCTCCTCTCTTCTATGTGCGGGTTATTTATGTATCATTCCACTCACGGTATTGTGCCTTTTTTTTGTTATAAATGAGAGAATCTTTTTCCAAAGGTAATGACACCAAAACTACAATATTTGATGGAAAACTTCAAGAATTATGCTTTCACAGAGTTATCAGTCTTGGCGATATTTAAGCACTGACCCTATTTGAACCCAATTTTCGACAAAATCTTTAGCTCCTCGCCAAACTCATTATTTCGTAGTTTCCTTCTATCAATCATTGAGCTATTAAATGCATTTTTACCTTAACTAAACTCATCAAAGTAATCGAAATCAAACCAATTTCACATATGAAAAGTGCAAATTCAAATGGCCAGAATAATAATATATCCTGGCTACTAAAGCATTTACCCTGTTTGAACCCATATTTCTGACCAATTTCATTTGTTCGTTGACCATTTAATTTTCAAAATAATTCGCTAGTATTCTTTATTTTCAATCAACTGCTCACTAAACTGACATTTCCTTACTACAACTACTCAATAATAATCAGAATCAGTAATTTGGCAATTCACAAACTAGAAAAGTGCCAAGTTCAAAATTTAACCCAGAATAAATAATTCATTCCATGGCACTAAAAAATTCTGTTCATCAGTCATCTTCAGACCTCTCCTATTCATTTCTTGGGGTCCAATTTTGTCCTGATTCAACCAAAAAATTGTGAATTAACTCAGGTACTATAGCCTGCTGTGACGATAAACATGTAGTCACGTTCGAAGTCCAGCATCTAGAATGAACCTGGCTAAGCGTGGGCGACTTATACCTACAGCAGGGACTATTGATGTGGTAACCATCTTTGATATTGTTTTAATGTCACCTCTGCGCCATTCATACATTTCTGGTATATTATTTTTAATGTTTATACAGTAGTGTACCAGATATTGAAATAAACAGAATAGAAGAAATCAACTCTAACATAAATACTGGTCAGAGAGCCCCTTCGTCAGTCCGAGGCATTGGTAAACAAGTATGTCACTAAGTGAGGAGAGTTGTACTGCATTATTGTACTGTATAAATATTGTCAGCACATTTTTGAATGCACATTAGACTGACCAGTTAGACATGTATTGAACAAGTGACGTAGTTTGTATACTCAGGAATATCTGCAAAAATCAAACATTTCTGCTACTTTGAGCTCAATTTCAAGCTACTTTCAATCCTGAAACCAATCAAAATCATGTCTATTTCTATAATATATCTTTCATTCTATCAAATAAGACCAAGAAACTGAGAATACAACCATAAATGTCATATGGAAAACACCATAAATTTACTGTTTTAAACCAAAAAGTCAGTTTTATCTCCATTATGTACTGTTTCCTCCATGATTTTCTTTTATAAGGTACACATTTACTGCACAGACCCATTCTCTCATATCTAGGCCCAAATTTATTGCTCACAGCTTATGAGTGAGCTGACCTCATGGTATAGAGCTATAGGACTGACCCTGCACTTCAAAGCTGTGGTACTACAGGACCCACTCAGAAAGGGTTAATGTATATTCTGAAAAATCAGACTTGTATTTTTTGCATATACAGAATGTGTAGCATACACAAATAACCCGCACATGAAAGCGAGAAGCTTACAACAACGTTTCGGTCTGAAATGTCATCGTAAGCTTCTCTCTTTCATGTGCGAGTTATTTGTGTATCGATCCAGTCACGGTATTGTGCCTTTTTTTTTGTTATTAATGTGTAGCATTTTTGGTTTTGTTATTCATTCAGAGCCTGGTTTTCTGTTCGTCCTGGATTAACAAAAAATTGTCAGAATATAGTACAGTGGACCCCCGGTTAACGAACTTTTTTCATTCCAGTAGTATGTTCAGGTGCCAGTACTGACCGAATTTTTTCCCATAAGGAATATTGTGAAGTAGATTAGTCTATTTCAGACCCCCAAACATACACGTACAAACGCACTTACATAAATACACTTACATAATTGGTCGCATTTGGAGGTGATCGTTAAGCGGGGGTCAACTGTAGTCTGCAAATTACTGTAGATGAAAATGAATACAGTCTCTCCTCACTTAACAATGGAGTTCCATTCCTAAGACCACGTTGGTAAATGAATTTGTCGCTGAGTAAGGAGCATATTAAAATGGTAGTGGGTTTGTGTCAACCATCTCTGATATTGTTTTAATGTCACCTTTGCCTCATCTGTAACATTTCTGGTACAGTAAGGCCCCGCTTTACGGCGTTTCGCCTTACGGCGCTCCGCTAATATGGTGATGTCAAATTATGACCAAAATTTGCTATACGGCAAGCGGTCTTTCAAATACGGCGCCCCCCCACCCGGTTTGTTTCCATTTTCCGTGACCACATCTATTATGTCGGGAAACTTTCCAAAATTTCAAGTGTTTTAAAGTTACAGGTACATATAAAATATGCAGTAAGTGTACCTGTACCTAAATATACTTACTGTGCTGGTGTGCAGGTACACATTAAAATAGCTAAGTCTCTCTCTACTCATGACGCCAATACTACGTAATAATAATCACTCTTGGGCACACTAAATGTCTTATTTTACTTCAATACAGGCATTTTCATTAATCCATCCATGATATTTTCCTCAAAATTATATATGAAGCCCATTACATAGCATATAAACATGATACATACACTCACAGAATAAAAATTGATGTAAATATGAGATTTGTTTACAAAGCATCTGTGTAGGTAGTGTCGGAAGAATTACGTTTTCTCTAGTCAAACACTGGGGGTAACTGTAGAAAAATATTCTTTTCGTATGCCTTTACTCTATATATAGCAATTCATGACCCTTGTGGGTTTAGTGTTTTTTATTATAATAATATTAATAATAATATTATTATTATTATCATTATTATTATTATCTTCATTCACTCTAAAAATGGTGTGTTGCTGTTTGTTTATTCTGAACTAACTTGTACGCAATGTAAGAGTATTTATATTGTGAGGTAATTATTATTAAAATAAAAAATAGAGGTAAATGCTTTACAAACTCTTACAAACGTACGTGAATGAACTAAAAGTAGACATATTAATACGCATTTATTTCGCCTGACTAAGTGATCGTCCACTACCTGTTCAGTTTGTGTTCTTACATTGTCTCAATTCTGTATCTCGTTCTCTCTCTCGTTTACTCTTTCGTTAACTAGTTGGCTCTCATTGACGATGGCGTCTAAGGTTAGCTGTGATAAAAAGAGAAGTCATAAGCCTCTTGCTTTAAGTGCCAAGTTAGAGGATGATGGTGTGCCATTCTGATTTTATTCAATAAACACCCTGCCACTCACCTCTCACACATTAATAAGCAAGTAATAAGCGTAGTACTCTGTGTGTATCTTACCTTTTATTGTGTTTTTAACCCTTTGACTGTCGCAACCCCCAATCCTGAGGTGTCTCCTGGTGTCGCAAAATTTCAAAAAAAAAAAAAATAATTTTTTCTAAAGAAATGATAGAGAATCTTTTCCCGATTGTAATGACACCAAAAAAATGAAATTTGATGGAAAACTGACAGAATTATGCTCTCGCGAAGCTAGCGACCTTGGCGATATTTACAAATCGGCGATTTCGCCCACTTTCAGCCCTATTTTCGGCTAATTCCATTGTTCCAGTCGACCAAACTCATAGCTATTTCTTTAGAACTCCATTTTTTCTATCTATTGAGTACAAGAAACTTCCCATTTACCGATTTCAACTACCCAATAATGTGGTCAGAAATTTGCAATTTGGCCAATTTCACGAAAATTAAAAAATATGACAATTTCAAAATAGGGTCCAGAATGAACAATGCAGACATTCCTGGCTCTAAAATAACATTTTCTTTGTTCATCAGTCATGTCTCCAGGCCCCTCTGATATTACTCTTGCTTTCTATTTTGAATTTTTATTCAAACAAAAAATAGAAGACTTACTATTATGCAGACTACTGCAATACTGTAATAATTGTATAAATAACATCAACCCATTCATGACTGCATATTAGAATGGCTAGTTGGACATTTATTGGACAATGACATCATTTGTTTACTTTTGAACATTGGCAAAAAATCAAACATTTCCCCTACTTTGAGCTCCATTTCCAGGTTCTTTTTATAGTAAAATCAATCAAAATCACCTCTATTTCTATAATATGTTTTCCATTCTATCAAATGAGACTAAGAAAATGAGAATACAACCATAAATACTATACGAAAATAGACCACAAAGTTGGCATTTTAATTAAAAAAAATGGTCGGAGTTTTTTTTTTCTCATGCACTGCGTGCTCCAGGATTTTTTTTATATGGTGCACACTGACCACACAGATCCATTCTCTCACATGTGGGCCTACCAGCTTTCTCCTGCTTGATTTGAAGCCGCTAGAATTTATGAGTATATATACGTCAAACACGGTACCTCGTAAGACGTATATATACGGCCGCGACAGTCAAAGGGTTAATGCCTATTTATATTGCTAACTTAATATAAGTTAGTGTAAACTTGTTGTCTGGCATTTATTACATATTTTATGTGTGCTCTGATAATAATACTTGTGGAGCTGTGTGGTAGCCGGGTGGAGGGACAACATTACGTATTCTCTGCTCAGCCATCAGAGAAAACGTGTATGAATCTGCTTTTGGCCCAGCCACTCCCCCACTCCGCTTTTGTTTACAATTTTCGGCATGAATTATTCATTACTTCTACCTTCGTTTATTATGATATCTAAAGGTAGCTGTTAGAAATTATTAAATTCAGTGAACAAGGCATGTCAATGTTTATAATATGGCTCTGGGCCACAGTGTAGGTAGCCGGTAGGTGTAGCCCAGGCGGGCTACACCTACCGGTTACCTACACTGACTCTACAAATAAATACTACTCACCTCTCCTCCTATATTAAGACTACACATATTTTAAGGTAAATAATGAGTGTACTGTATGTGTATTTTGCCTCTCTGCGATGTTTTAAAAATCGTATATAAACCCTTAAACAGTCCAAACGTATATATACATTTTTTCAACATCTGAAAGTATGTAAAAAAATGTAGATCTTCTTTTTTGTTTTACATTTAAAAACATGTAAAAACAACTTTTATCTACATTTTTTTTTTTATTATATTTGAAAATATGTAAACAAAAAAGTAGATCTACTTTTGTAGCACTACGAATTTGAACGCCGATCTGTTTGGACCGTTTAAGGGTTAAGTATGAGACGGGGAGCCAGGGCTACCTACACCTGGGCTACCTGCACCTGACTTCCTACAAGTAAGTACTACTCACCTGGTTTAGAAAGACACGTAAGCAAACACTATAACATATTTATTAGAAAACGTTTCGGTCCTGGGACCTTGATCACTTCTAACATACAGTGTTCCTCCATTCTTATGTTCTTATGACATTCCTCAGGTCACGTGCGTCACATCTCACTCTCCGCCTATATATATAATGTCTTTCTACCTCTGTATGTTAGAAGTGATCAAGGTCCCAGGACCGAAACGTTTTCTAATAAATATGTTATAGTGTTTGCTTACGTGTCTTTCTAAACCAACTTGTCGGTATTTATTACCAAGGTTTATACCACTACTCGCCTCCCTCCCTACATTAAGATTACAAATACTTTAAGATAAGTAATGAATTTACTGTGAATGTATTTTACTGTGTGTGTTTTTAATGTCTGGTTCTATTACTAACTTAATATAATTTAGTGTAAGCTTGTTGTCTGGCATTTATATACATTTATAAATGGGAAAAAATGGCGTTCTGACTTCCGGCGATGTCTGCTTTCCGGCAACAGCCTGGAACCTAACCCGTCATATAAGCGGGGCCCTACTGTATACTTTTAAATGTTTATTACAGTATACAGTACACTACTGTATAAACAAAATAGAGGAAATCAACTCTAATATACATTATTCAGGTATGCATACTGGTCAGAGAGCCCGTCATAAGTCCGAGTTGTTGGTAAACAAGTATGTCGCTAAGTGAGGAGAGGCTGTATACATTTTAGAAAACTGTATAACTGAAGTATACAAAACCCTATAGGTGCATAGATCTTGAGTTTACAATTTACTGTCAGACTTATGGACTGCATAAGATGCAATTTCTCTATCATCAGATCAAAGTTATGCAATTTCAATAAGGTAATAAATATGATACATATGCAACACCTGGATATATTTATTGATTGGCGTTTTGCAAACCAGGGACTTTATGGGCCTCCATTATGAACCAATGTACTTTCACTAGTGAGCCCTTCCCAAGTGTGACTATTATTGGTACATTGCTCTCCCTCTTCCACTAGCTCCACTACTATATTGACCACTAGCACTAGCTTCCAGCTTCCCAATAACGGAATGATACCTATTAAAAACCCGTAAAACAGACTAGGGAGTGTAAGGGGGACCATACCCGTCCTTGGAAAAATTGGCAAAAATCTAATATTTTCACTACTTTGAGCTCAATTTCAAGATACTTCCATTCCCAAAACCAATCAGAATCACCTCTATTTCAGTAGTATATCTTCAAGAGGTAGGTTACTGAAAGCAGTGAAGAGTTTTTACGAGGATAGTGAGGCCCAAGTTAGAGTATGTAGGAAAGAGGGAAATTATTTCCCAGTAAAAGTAGGCCTTAGACAAGGATGTGTGATGTCACCGTGGTTGTTTAATATATTTATAGATGGGGTTGTAAGAGAAGTAAATGCGAGGGTCTTGGCAAGAGGCGTGGAGTTAAAAGATAATCACACATAAAGTGGGAGTTGTCACAGTTGCTCTTTGCTGATGACACTGTGCTCTTTGGAGATTCTGAAGAGAAGTTGCAGAGATTGGTGGATGAATCTGGTAGGGTATGCAAAAGAAGAAAATTAAAAGTGAATACAGGAAAGAGTAAGGTTATGAGGATAACAAAAAAATTAGGTGATGAAAGATTGGATATCAGATTGGAGGGAGAGAGTATAGAGGAGGTGAATGTATTCAGATATTTGGGAGTGGACGTGTCAGCGGATGGGTCTATGAAAGATGAGGTGAATCATAGAATTGATGAGGGGAAAAGGGTGAGTGGTGCACTTAGGAGTCTGTGGAGACAAAGAACTTTGTCCTTGGAGGCAAAGAGGGGAATGTATGAGAGTATAGTTTTACCAACGCTCTTATATGGGTGTGAAGCATGGGTGATGAATGTTGCAGCGAGGAGAAGGCTGGAGGCAGTGGAGATGTCATGTCTGAGGGCAATGTGTGGTGTGAATATAATGCAGAGAATTCGTAGTTTGGAAGTTAGGAGGTGGTGCGGGATTACCAAAACTGTTGTCCAGAGGGCTGAGGAAGGGTTGTTGAGGTGGTTCGGACATGTAGAGAGAATGGAGAGAAACAGAATGACTTCGAGAGTGTATCAGTCTGTAGTGGAAGGAAGGCGGGGTAGGGGTCAGCCTAGGAAAGGTTGGAGGGAGGGGGTAAAGGAGGTTTTGTGTGCGAGGGGCTTGGACTTCCAGCAGGCATGCGTGAGCGTGTTTGATAGGAGTGAATGGAGACAAATGGTTTTTAATACTTGACGTGCTGTTGGAGTGTGAGCAAAGTAACATTTATGAAGGGGTTCAGGGAAACCGGCAGGCCGGACTTGAGTCCTGGAGATGGGAAGTACAGTGCCTGCACTCTGAAGGAGGGGTGTTAATGTTGCAGTTTAAAAACTGTAGTGTAAAGCACCCTTCTGGCAAGACAGTGATGGAGTGAATGATGGTGAAAGTTTTTCTTTTTTGGGCCACCCTGCCTTGGTGGGAATCGGCCAGTGTGATAATAAAAATAATAATAAAATCTTCATTCTATCAAATAATACTAAGAAACAGCCAATAAAACCATAAAAATTATCTTAGAAAATTTGGTCACTAATTTAAACCAACACATGGTTAAAGTCTTTTTCTATCATGCACAACGTAGGGTAGGATTTTTTTTTATTGTGAACGCTCATTGCGCAGACCCATTCTCTCATATCTGGGCTAAAATTTACCACTCACAGCTTATCTGAGTGAGCTGAGCTCATGACGTAGAACTTGCAAGGGACCCTGGCCTCGATGATGTAGTTCTACATGATAGCCACTAAAAAAGTTAAGTCTGAATGCCAGAGTATTTTTCCATAATCATAACAATAATGGATAATTCTGGATTAACTGATACTGTTCATTTAATCTGAAATCAATCTACACCATACCCAGTAGACTGTAACAAGCTTTGTCCATTAAATCCAGAATCAATTTACCCATTGGACCATAGCAGATGAATCAGGATTTAACAGACTTTATCCTTCACTTCCAAACTTCATCCAGATGACAGATGTTTGTGAAATCCAAAATTTGCTAAACTGATGCTTTATTAAATAAGGCATATGGATGAAAAGACAAAAAAAAAAAAAGCACGTCTTGATTATAACAAAATCTCACTAAAGGATGAAACATTTTAATAAAAGCTTCTGATTTATGTATCTTATCCTCCACTTGTCAACTCTCTTGTACACTTGCTAAAAAACACTGTATTTTGCTGCTTATAAGACTTGTTTTAGTTTCAATGACTTGGCATTGGATATAACAGGGAGAGCTACAGCCCACCCCACACCCCAAACTTATAGCTCCCGTCACTGGCCTTCAATTTATAGGACGCAGAGTGGTTTTTGGAGACATTTTATGGAAAAAATGCATCTAATAAGCCGTGAAATACAGTATCAATATGAATACTGATTTAGAATAAGTCACAATGTCATGGATGGAATAATTCACAAATAACCCACATTTTAGAGAGGAATCTTTAAATGAGGTTTTGGTCCACAAGTCACACCTTGATAATGGCCCTGGATGGATCCATTATCAAATCACACTTTGATAATGGCCCAGGGTGAACCATAATATCGTCCAAGGGTTCTACTCCAAAGTGTGAGTAATTTACAAATAACCATTTATTATGCTGGCCATAAGAAATTAATTACCTGGTTTATGGCATTTGGAAAATTCTGTGGTTCACAGCAGAAGGCACCTTGGTGGGTGTAAGAGCACCCACCTCGCCCAACCATCTCGCCCTTCTCTTGTGGCAAAAAGTTTCCAGTGTAAATCTGGACTCCCGGCTCACTGGTGTACACATCCAGTATCCGACCTGTTAAAAATATAATAATAATATCTTTCCTAGGTAGTAGGTTGGTAGACAGCAACCACCCAGGGAGGTACTACCGTCCTGCCAAGTAAGTGGAACGAAGCGTAATTGTTTTGCTGATGTAGATGCTGTCCTTTTTTCTGTCTCATGAACATGCAAGATTACAGGTATGGTCTTGCTACTTCTACTTACACTTAGGTCACACTACACATACATGTACAAGCATATATATATACCCACACCCCTCTGGGTTTTCTTCTCTTTTCTTTCTAGTTCTTATTCTTGTTTATTTCCTCTTATCTCCATGGGGAAGTAGAACAGAATTCTTCCTCCGTAAGCCATGAGTGTTGTAAGAGGCGACTAAAATGCCGGGAGTAAGGGGCTAGTAACCTCTTCTCCTGTATATATTACTGAATGTAAAAGGAGAAACTTTCGTTTTTCCTTTTGGGCCACCCCGTCTCGGTGGGATACGGCCGGTGTGTTGAAAGAAAAAAATAATATCTTTATTTCTAATAGTACATGTACAGGGTATACAGGCATAGCTGACATCTGTGACATACTACTATTTAGAAAGCCCCTGGATATGCAGAGCATTCTGGGCAAATTAGGTCAGCTTTCTCCCCAGCATGCAACCCACACAAGTTGACTAACGCTCGGGTACCTATTTTACTGATAGGTAAACAGGGACAGCAGGTGTCTTACTGTATTTTCCAGCATGTAAGGTGCATGACAGAAGTATCATGGCAGTAAATCAGTAATCATTTTTAAGGGCTAATTACCCTCTTATTTTATGCTAAAGCATAACCCAAAGCCTACCCTTGACACTGACCTTGAACAGATAAAGCGCAGGGTGATTTTCCAAGACTTTTTGTGGAAAAAAAGGCACACACATGCTGGAAAATATGGTAATTAAGGGTTTTGAATATAAATGGCCCAAAGCCAATAGTGGTGAAAGGCACGATGGATGAGAGGAATTTTATCGAGATATTTCTGCATTTATAACAGACTTCTTCAGTCACTTCTGACTGAAGAAGTCTTCTCTATAGACAGAATGTCTCAATAATAGTACTTTTTGCAATTGTGTATTTTTAATCAATTAAAGATTTTACTAAAAATCAAATAAAAATACTGCTTTCAGATGTATGAAAGTTAAAAAAAAAAATTCATTGAAAAGTTACTCTGGAGTGAGTGGAGACGAGCAGTTTCAAGGATTTTATGTGCTCTTAGAGTGTAACACAGCAATATTACAAAGGAATGAATGTAAACAAGTTCAAAATCAAATTCAAAATTTAAATTTTTATTTCTTTTTATCAGGACAAAAATAATATAATTTACATGTAACAAAGCATTATTAGGCACAAAACAAAGCCACTATTATGCAATGTATTTTGGGAAAACTTGAGTCCTGAAGGTAAGAAATATAGTGCCTCACTTTGCAGAAAATGCAGGGATGTTGCTGTTTGGAGAGTTATCTTAATCATGATGTCTACAAAGATAGTTATTGAATGAATGATGGTGGGTGTTTACTCCTTTACCCAAAATAAAAAAGTAATCTATTCCCCAATACAAAAAAAAATCAGCAAATAATTCTAGAAAATACATAAAAGTAACTGGTGTAATGTGAGGATTATTATTATTATTATTATTATAATCAAGGGGGAAGCGCTAAACCCGGAGGATTATACAGCGCCTGGGGGGGGGGGATGTGGAAGGCATTCAGGCTTAATTCGGGGAACTGGAGCACAGATCCAATTCCCTAAATCAAGAGCCCCTCACCAACATCAAGGAACCTTCCTTGAGGAGTAATGTGAGGATATATTGTATAATACAAGGCAGATTTTGAAAATTACTATTAGTTATTTTTAAAAGTTGAACATTTCATTTTTTTGAGAAAACAGAATATGAAAAAATTATAACAGGTAACAGTAAGACTTTCTCTGTCAGTTTTGATCTGAGGAATAGAAGGGCAGCTCTAATTCCTTGAATCAAGAGACTTCCTCAGCATTGGGGATTTCCAAAATCTAGCCCTACTTAATATTGATGCTTTTGTATTTATTCCCATCTAGGAAGGTGCAAGATTGTTGATGAAGGATCTCTTGATCTGAGGAATTGAAGCACCCCTCTTCTACCCTGTATCAAACTTGCTTGCCTTGCTTTTCACTGATTAATAATGTACTGGTCTGTGAATTTTAGGACTCATTCGCCATGGGTTCAAACCCCACTCATTCCGTGGTTTGTTTGCAATCGTGTTTTTATGATTTCATGAATCGTAATAATAATTGTATTTAATCATTTAATAAACTAACCTGTTGGTGGATGGTGGAAATGTGCAGCAAACTCAAGCTCTCCCCGGCACTTATTATTAAGACAAAAGTTGTGGTCTATGCCACTGCCAGGAACCTTGGGAAGAGCTTTTCCAAATGTGATTGGATTACGCAAGTCGAATCCAGTACCTTCGACCTGGGCCAACTCTCCTGTTGATAGGCATACCATTAACACATTTCAGAATTACAGGAAATTTTTTAATAAAAAGCTATGATGAGTTATAAGCTAGATATTTAAAATGTAAATATTCAGAGTCAATAAAGATTTTTCTTTTAAATGATAATCCTCACGTTGAACTTAAATACTGTATACTACTGTTCCCCCTACACATGAGTTGTTTTCCTGGCTTTGCAATTCTCAGTTGAATTTTTAGTACAAAAAACAACAGCGCAAAGGATATGTTTAAGGCACAACCATACTGTGGTTTTTCATAACTCAAAATTGTCTCACCTAGTCTTATGTAAATAAACACCTCAGACAGTCCAATTTAACAGCAGTTTGTCATATGTCTACTCTAACCCTTTCTTTATCCATTCTGCCTGTTTTTTTTAATGCTGGCCATCTCCCACCGAGGTAGGGTGACCCAAAAAAGAAACACTTTCACCATCATTTCACGCTGTCACTGTTTTGCCAGAGGCACACAGGTATGACAGTTTAGATGTCACTAAATGGCAAATATCCCAAACCCCTCCTTTAGAGTGCAGGCAGTAAAGGAGGGGATTGAGATATTCCCATAACTGTCTAAAATAACTTCTACTTCCTACAAGCTGGGTATGAGAGGAATAAAATATGACACACACTCATATTATTGTGCCTACTACATATACATAACATTAAACTCCAATATAAACCCTCCACATAAACTTCTCCTTGATAGCTACAACAGAACTCAATCACAATAAAAGGCATAAGGCACTCTTCGAAATCCCTCATGTCAGTCTCACACTGCAAAAATGCAATGTACATATAGGGCCCGAAGATCTGAAATTCACTACCTGAACTGGGAAAGGATCCCCTGACTACTAATAAATTCAGGACTTTGCTTAAAAATCGTCTCGGCTCTCAATACTAACCAAACCAAACCAACACAACTTCTAATCAGTTGAAGCAACTCTCCAAAATATTATTATATTATATGACTTCTAAGTCTATTAAACATCTGCCAATCCATGAAATATTACTGTTTGAACCATTATGTGTAATATTGTTTTTATTATGAGCAACTTCAAGATTATTATTCTTATAAACCTCCACCTTGACTACCTTGCATTAGTATTAAGATTAACTAAAGATTTTAATACAAGTTAACCACAATTATCTTGTCTAGATTTAAGTATTTATTATGTACTAGGATTTTGTCTGCCCGAAATGCCCCGGCATGATAGTGGCTTCTATGTACTTAGCAAACCAAAATTGTAATTACACATTGTAACCTTTACAAAGAAATAATATCTTTATCTTTTATCGTATTTTTTTTTTCAATGCACCAGCTGTATCCCACCGAGGCAGGGTGACCTAAGGAGAAAAACAAAAGCTTATTTTTACATTTAGTAATTCGTACAGAAGGGGTTACTTGCCCCTTGCTCATGGAATTTTTGTAACCTTTTACAATACACATGGCTTACGGAGGAAGAATTCTTTTCCACTTCCTCATGGAGTACCTCATACTACAACATGGAAATCTATGGGAAAATGGTTTTAACTTGGTGTAAATTTCACTAAATATAACCTTGTCTGAAGTACATACCTGTGTTGCTAGTGGGGAATAACTATTCATATATTTTAAACTGTGTGATACTGACCTGTATAATCTACTATGTATTTATTAACTTGTGATACCAGAGGTACACAGAAATACTGAGACAAGACTAGCTCATGTCACTAATATCAGGTCATTCAGGGATTTTTACAATAGCATCAGAGCTAAGTAGACATTTCTACCTCTGGGGTCTGTTCTCTCTCAGCCAATGAAATTCAAAACAGTAGGAAATATCAGAGGAACGAGATGCGTAGATTTAAGCTCCACTCCATGTTGTTCCCTAAACTGGATGTTTGTGAATCAGGGTAAATGTGGATTTTTACCGATCTACACTCTAGCCTGTTTGGAAATGTTTAAATGCTGGAGTGTGAGCAGGGATTGTGTAGGGATTTAGAGAAACTGGTTAGCTGGACTTGAGTCCTGGAGGTGGAAAGTATTTAATGCCTGCACTCTAAATGAGAATTTGGGGATATCTGCTGTTTAAAGAGACACCTAAACTGTCGTACATGCATGCCTCTGGCACGACAGTGACGGTGTGAATGATGGTTAAAGTGTTTCCTTTTCAGATTACCCTGCCTTGGTGAGAGATGGCAAGTGGGCTAAAAAAAATCAGCAGACCATATGTAAAGATGTACAAGTGTTGTGTTTCCTTCCCATAAGGATCTGAAAAAATTCCACAATATACATCTGCTTTCTAACAATCTTCGGTTCACCTAGGAAGCAGAGAAGACAGGAATCTGCCAGAAGTATTTTTAGTAGAAACACAAGATTCACAAGACTACTTGTGCATTTGCAAATGACCATCCTCATTAAAGATGAGGTGGGCAAGAGATGGATAGTCAGGGAGTGGAGATAGGGGTGAAAAAATTTTCAAAGTGTTTCACTGACCTGTTGGTATAAGATCCTCTGTCACAGGGGTGAAACGGTCAGCATTTACCTTCACAATATGCTCAAAGATTCCATCCTGTCCAGCAGCCTGTGTGAATGCTCAAAACTAATTATGCTATGAAAAAGACAGAAGTTAGGAATTAGTTTTGCCACTGAAAACAAATTCCTTTGTGAATAACTCATGAAATCATAATAAAACGACTCCATTCAAACTGCAGAACGGGATCAAGCTCCACCCACTGTGTGATTTCTTTTAATATATACTGGTGTATGGAAGTCAAAAACTACATATAAAGTATTTCATACCAGTCATCACAATCAGAATTCAGACATTAGAAAAATATCAATCTACTATACAGTAAATTCTCTGCTTGGTGTGATTCTGTCTGAATAGCAAGAATTGTTTTACAATTACAGCCTCTCCTCACTTAACAACGTACTCGTTTACCAACGACTCAGACTTATGACGGGCTCTCTGACCAATATGCATACCTAAATAATGTATATTAGAGCTGATTTCCTCTATTTTTTTATTACAATATACAGTATGCTCCTCACTTAGTGGCGCATTCATTTCCCGACATGGTCTTAGGAACGGAACTCTGTCATTAAGCGAGGAGAGGCTGTTAAATTACACCTGGAAAAATACTGCAAGTCAAAAACTTCTTGACCCCATCCAGCCTCCTGGATATAGTTTCCAGCAAGTATACTAGTGACCTTCTGTGCCTAACATTACTGTATTACATGTAAACTACATTATTTTTGCACTTCATAAAAAGATATAATTTGAATCTGAAAGGAAGATTTATACTATGTTCCTTCCTCTGTAAGACATGTCACAAGAGGCAACTAAAATGCTGGGAGCAAGAGGCTAGTAACCCCTTCTGTATAAATTATTAAATGTAAAAAGAAGAAAAACTTTTTAAAAAGCGTTTCTTCTTTCTCGGGTCACCCCGCTTCAGTGGGAGATGGCTGGCGTGTTTTAAAAAAAAATTATACAATGTATACTTCTCACTCGTGTACTTTTGTCTTTCCCTATCTTTTTCTATTTACTTATTTGGAACAGATTTGCTGATGCAATACTAGAACCAATTATTATTATTATAATCAAAAAGAAGTGCTAAGCACAAGGGCTATACAGCACTAGAACCAAAACTGCTGATAATTTACAATTCTTCAGACTTCCCAGCTTACCACTAAAAATAAAAAAAAAAAAAAAAAAAAAAAATTTAATTATTTTAAGAGTCAAAGCACCTAATCCCTTAAATTTAATTGTACATATTTTTAATATGATTTATTATAAATGTACAATATATAAGAAAACTAATATATGAACATGAAGAAGTGGTAACCATTTAATGGGTTTGACAGCCATAATTCCCATTCCAAAAGAACTTAAAAAGTCGTATAAATTGCACTTTCAATGTAAATTATCTAAAGAACATCTAGTCTTAAGACAAATTTATAAAACCACTATAGTTTCTAAGGGATATGAGGTATTAGAATATTCATTGCTGGAATTTTTTTTATCTCTTATTGTAACTTGAATCATTTCAAAGTACTTACATGTCCAGCCAAATTGAAGAAGCAGTGATTAGTCATGTTGATCGGTGTAGCACGTGTAGTCATGGCCTCAAAGTCAATCCTAAGTCCACCCTCTTTAATCAGTCTATATGTAACCTGAAAATAATTACAGTACAGTACCTAGCATCAAAGGGAACTTTATAACTTGACGTGCTGTTGGAGTATGAGCAAGGTAAAATTTATGAAGGGATTCAGCGAAACTGGTTAGCCGGACCCGAGTCCTGAGGTGAAAAGGGCAGGAGAGGTGGGGATTTTTGCAATTTAGAGGGGCATCTGAACTGTAGTATTAACACAACTCTGGCAAGACAGTGACTGATTGTAAAAGCTTTTCTTCTTGTTTTCGAGTCGCCCTACCTTGGTAGGAGACAGCCAGTGTGTTAAAAAAAAAATAATTCTTTCAATTTAAAATAGACCAATTTAAAATAGAATTTAGCACCAAAAAATCTGAATCTGATTCCTCAAACAGTTGAAAAGATTTTGGTAATCAGGCATTGACAAGGTCTTTGATATACAATGTAATGTTTTGTCCTGGAATCCTCAAATCAAAAGTATATAATGTTTAAAAGTAAATAAGACACTTGTAACACCTGGGTGTTTTTATTGAAAGGTTTCACTTACCAGGAACTTTACTGCTCTAATACAGACAAATGATAATGGAGCCTTTTATAGTAGAGCCAGTGAAAGATGTGGAGCAGCAGCAGTACTAGTAGATGCTATCACATGGCCAAAACTAAGTAGTGGAAATAGGTCAGGACCTGCCCACATGATGACATCCCCTATTACTGCAGAGTATTGTTGCTACTGATTCCATTACTAGATTAGCTACACACTTCCTTCCCTTCAGTGTAATAATACGTACCTTGTGCTAATACGTTCCCGGGGTAGCCTTCTTCTCCATCAGGGCTTAACCGTGAGAACACAACAGTGTCATCTATCACACAGCTCTCCCAAACATGCTGTATAAAAAAAATATACATTTTACATTATAATCAATTTATACAAGCACAAACATTATTTCTATTAACCCTTCGAGGGTCGACAGACCCTCTCCGAGACTTGTTCTCAGGGTCAGCCAAATTTAAAAAAAAAAAAAATTATTTTTTCTTGTGAAAAAATAGAGAATCTTTTCCCAATCATAATGACACCAAAAGTATGAAATTTGATGGAAATCTTACGGAATTATGCTCTCGCGAAGTTAGCGGTCTCGACGATGTTTACGCATCGACTATTTTGCCCACTTTGAGCCCTATTTTCGGCCAATTCCAGTCTACTAGTCAACAAAAATCATAACTATTTCTCTAGAACTCCATTTTTTCTATTGAATGAGTATGAGAAACCACCCATTTACTGATTTCAACTATCCAATACAGTGGTCAGAATTTAGCAATTTTGCCAATTTCACACAAATTTCAAAAGATGCAAATTTCCAAATAGTGTTCAGAATAAACAAAGACATTCCTGGCACTAAAATAACATTTCCTCTGTTCGTTAGTCACATCCCCAGGCCCCTCTTATATTTCTTTGGCTTTCCACTTTCAATTTTTATTCTTACAAAAAATAGAAGATTTACTGTTATGCAGACTGCTGCATTAGTGTAGAAATGGTATAAATAATATCAGCGCACTTGTGAAAGAATATTAGACTCACCAGTTGACGTGTATTGGACGCTTGGCATGATTTGTTTACTTTTGAACTTTGGTAAAAATCGAACATTTCTCCTACTTTGAGCTCAATTTCAAGGTACTTTTCATTGTAAAACCAGTCAAAATCATCTCAATTTCTGTAATATGTCTTCCATTCTATAAAATGAGACCAAGAAAACTAGAATACAACAATAAATACCATACAAAAATACAGTGCAAAGTCGCTGTTTTATTCCAAAAACACGGTCAAAGTTTTTTTTTTCTCATTACGCACTGTGTGCTGCAGGATTTTTTTTATACTGTGCACATTGACCACATAGACCCATTCTTTCATATGTATGCCTACCAGCTTTCTCCCACTAGATTTGAGGGCGCTAGAATTTAGGCGTACTAGTACGTCAAAAACCCTGGGTCGTAAGCCGTACTAGTACGGTTGAAACCCTCAAAGGGTTAAGTGGAATACAGTTTATTATGTAATTTGGGTGATTGAATTTTTGTTTTTTAACATGCTGGCTGTCTCCCACTGAGGCAGGGTGACCCAAAAAAGAAACACTTTCACCATCGTTCACACTATCACTATCTTGCCAGAGGTGCACAGATACAACAGTTCAGATGTCCCTCCGAACAGCAAATATCCCAAACCCCTCCTTTATAATGCAGGCACTGTACTTCCCACCTACTATTTTATAGAAATCCCCTAGAAATGCATAGTATACTCTCTTCTATAGGCTCACTTCACTTAGCAATGTGCTCGTTGACCGACGCCTTGGACTTATGACAGGTTCTCTCACCAGTATTTATACCTAAATAATGTATATTAGAGCTCATTTCATCTATTCTATTTATTTCAATATACAGTACACTGCTGTATAAACATTTATTTTTTTTTTTTTAACAAGTCGTCCATCTCCCACCAAGGCAGGGTGACCCAGAAAGAAAGAAAATCCCCAAAAAGAAAATACTTTCATCATCATTCAACACTTTCACCTCACTCGCACATAATGACTGTTTTTGCAGAGGTGCTCAGAACACAACAGTTTAGAAGCATATACGTATAAAGATACACAACATATCCCTCCAAACTGCTAATATCCCGAACCCCTCCTTTAGAGAGCAGGCATTGTACTTCCCATTTCCAGGACTCAAGTCCGGCTATTAAAAATAACCAGTTTCCCTGAATCCCTTCACTAAATATTACCCTGCTCACACTCCAACAGATCGTCAGGTCCCAAATACCATTCGTCTCCATTCACTCCTATCAAACACGCTCATGCACGCCTGCTGGAAGTCCAAGCCCCTCGCCCACAAAACCTCACTTACCCCTTCCTTCCAACCGTTTCGAGGATGACCCCTACCCCACCTTCCTTCCCCTACAGATTTATACGCTCTTCATGTCATTCTACTTTGATCCATTCTCTCTAAACGACCAAACCACCTCAACAACCCCTCTTCAGCCCTCTGACTAATACTTTTATTAACTCCACACCTTCACCTAATTTCCACACTCTGAGTTTTCTGCATACTATTTACACCACACATTGCTCTTAGACAGGACATCTCCACTGCCTCCAACCGCCTCCTCGCTGCTGCATTCACAACCCAAGCTTCACACCCATATAAGAGTGTTGGTACTACTATACTTTCATACATTCCCTTCTTTGCCTCCATAGATAACGTTTTTTGTCTCTACATATACCTCAACGCACCACTCACTTTTTTTCCCTCATCAATTCTATGATTGACCTCATCCTTCATAAATCCATCCACTGACACATCAACTCCCAAGTATCTGAAAACATTCACTTCTTCCATACTCCTCCTCCCCAATTTAATATCCAATTTTTCTTTATCTAAATCATTTGATACCTTCATCGCTGTATAGCCCTTGTGGCTTAGCGCTTCTTTTTTATTATAATAATGATACGCTCATCACCTTACTCTTTTCTATGTTCACTTTCAACTTTCTACCTTTACACACACATTTAAAAATATACCAGAAATATTATAAATGGAGCAAAGGTGGCATTAAAACAATATCAAAGATGGTTGACACAAACTCACTACCATTTTAGTATGCTCCTCACTTAGCAACAAATTCGTTGAACGACGTGGTCTCAGGAACGGAACTCCATCATTAAATGAGGATAGGCTGTACTGGTTTACAAGATCTTTCAAAAGATAGGCAGAAACATGTCATTTGATATAATAAATTTTCTTTTTATATATTCTCTCTACATATGTACTCAGCCTTAATGCTGAAGGGCTTTTAATCCCAAGTATTGGATTACACTTACATAATTGTTCAAGTTGAGAGCTGCTCGTAACTCAAGGTACCGCTGTATATGATAGTGTAAACAAGGCTTTTATATGTATTTGAAAGCGAAAAATAGGCAACGTTTCACCTTACAGCAAAAACCCGGAACCGAACCTGCTGTATAACAGGGCCCTACAGTAGCCCGAAACCTAACCTGCTGTACAACAGGGGCCCTACAGTAGCCCAGAACCTAACCTGCTGTATAAACTAATCCCTACAGTAACCCAGAACCTAACCTGCTATATAAGCAGGGCCCTACAGTAGCCTGGAATCTAACCTGCAGTACAAATGGTGCCTTACAGTAGCCCGGGACCTAACCTGCTGTTAAGTGGGACCCTACAGTAGCCTGGAACCTAACCTGCTGTATAAGTGGGGCCTTACTGTCTGTAATCCATATCTAGATGACTCAAAGAACCATCTCTTTACATTTGTCCCAGTTTTGCTTGATCATTCATCAATACCACCGCTAGTAATAAAAATAGAACACACCTTGTCCCAGCCTCTTGTGCCTCCATGCAGATGATTTCCATTGTTGTTAATACTTAATTGGTATGACTGGCCGTCTATGGAGAACTTGCCTTTGCAGATTCGATTGGCGTGACGTCCAATGCTACTACCCAGGTAGCTAAATTTTTCATAACCTGGAAAATTAAAAGCCAAAAGTTATACATTCAAAAAATCTTAGTTTATGTAAAGCATGTAGATACTTAGGAATGTTCAAATAAATTACATTAAAAAAAAAGAAGTTTTACGACTTGCTTGCCATGAGTTCAATCCCCGCCCATGGTAGGTTTTGTTTGCAATCATGTCAATATGATTTCGTGAGTCTGGATTGAATATTTTTATTGTGATGAATTATGTATTTATGGCTTGTTAGAGCTTGCTACATCAGCCATGTCCTGGATTATATCTACAGCATAAAACAACGGACACTTGTATAAAACTGAGAGAAAAGTAAGGAAAGTCTTCAAATGGTGTATGTTTAGAGCTGGTTGTTGTTTTTTTAAAGTACAATTGTCTTCAAAAAAGTTTTCTGGTGAGCTTTATACAGTACTGCAGGGTACAACATACAAGAGATGAATTACACAACACTTGAGCACTCTGATACAACCATCAGCTATTGACTAATCTGTATCCACATTTATATAAGAACCACAGCCATTCACCTCAACTCAATGATTCACACTGCTCCTCTCTGCATTCTTGAATATTAAGAACTATACGCTACTAGAATATGAAGTAGTTATACCATAATAAATTTTCTTCTTTCTTTCAACGCACCAGACGTATCCCACTGAGGCAGGGTGGACCAAAAGGAAAAACAAAAGTTTCTCTTTTTAAATTTAGTAATATATACAGAAGGGGTTACTAGCCCCTTGCTCCCGGCATTTTAGTCGCCTCTTACGACACGCATGGCTTACGGAGGAAGAATTCTGTTCCACTTCCCCATGGAGATAATAAATTTTACAATACTAAAAAAGATTATTGTTAAATTTGAAGTAATGTGGAATGTAAGTTTTTTTTCCATACGTCTTCACTTTACTTTAAAATTTTATTTTGAGAACGTATCCTTTCCCCTCCTGTTACATGAAGGATTACTCTTATGTACTAAATACACTGTGTGAAGTCTAAAACCACTGAACCTGACACACTGAGGCCAGGTGCCTCTTACTTTAAATGACAAGAAGGCACAATACTGTGACTCCCTCCTTCTCTCCTTAGTGTGACTTTGTGGATGGTCCAAGTCAGACCGAAACGTCGTCAGAAAGCTTATGTGAGGGTTATTTGTGTATATACCTCTTATTTTGCTGAACTTAAGGTTAGGTAAAATTAGTAAACACGACAAGTGTTTCCTGACGTGGGTCTTAGTCATATGATGACCCACAGCTGGAGCTTTCAGTCATCTGACAGAGGCCTTCTGCTGGCTTACCAGTTCACCCCTTTAAAAATTATGGTTATAATTAAAACCATTAGTTTTTAATATTCCCAACATTACATTCCTAAACTTGATACTACCACACATTGATTATGAATATTTTTATTTATAGCTTCACTTTTTTTTATTTATTAGTATTATTATTATTAAAAGAGCACAAAGCCATAGGCATCATACAGAATCTAGAGAATGCAAGATGGGAGACAATCAAATTTCAACCATAAAAAATGAAGAGTGGCTCCATTTCCCTGGATCAGTAGACCACAGGCCTATAAGAAACTCCCATGAAGGGATACTACCACAGTTTACAGTGTACTGTACATTTAGAATTAACTGGTATAAACCAATGCCTGTAATGATTACCCTTGTCAAATTTGACTCCAATTTACATATGCTCATGTGATTTAGGCTAAAAATAAATATTTATGTAGGCTTGATGGCATATTGTGCAATGCCCTGAGTATACCTGGAGGGTGTTCCGGAGGTCAACTTCCCTGTGTTCTGGTCCATGACCAGACCAAGTTAGTGAATACTTTGGTCTACTCTCATCAGAACAGCAGGGCTCAATAATCCCATTATGTACCTCTGTAATCCTTTGACTACCACACTCAGGGTGGGTATGGGGCGCATAACAAAGATATTAAACTAAACTCAATAATTTGGGGTATACCCAAAGTCAGTTACTGATACTGTACTGTGAACACTAGATGTTAAAGTTAATAAATGCTTTATTTCCAGTTTATTTGTAGTTTTGTAACTACAGTGTAAAGCACCCCTCTGGCAAGACAGTGATGGAATGAATGAAGAAAGTTTGTTTTTCGGGCCACCCTGTCTTGGTGGGAATCAGCAGATGTGTTAATAAAAAAAATAATAAGAAAAAAATATTTTCTCAATAAGATATATTATATCACACTTTATAGTTCTTGTGTTATTCTTCTCCGTCCCTACACTTGCTATTACAATACCTCTTTCCCTACAGTCATAATATTTAATGCACATTCTTGGGACTATATATATGTAATATAATATTAATTAACTATTAATACAAGAATAAATAACAAACCTTCTAAATTATCAAAACCAAGAGTGACGTGGTCTTCCTTCCCTGTCTTGTCCGGGACCACAATGTCACTTATTCCTGCACCGTAAGAGATAACCTGAGGGCAGAAAATTTATACAAACTTTATAAAGTGGAGTACACTATAATACAATTAAGGTGACTGACAGGTATAGTTCCTGGACCTATTATGCACCTCTGTAATGTTGAGGTACACTCTCTGGACCCATTATGCACCTCTGTAATGCTGAGGTACACTCCCTGGACCCATTATGCGCCTCTGTAATGGGATTCATAATAAAACATGCACATAGAAGAGAGGAGCTTACGATGACATTTCAGTCCGACTTGGACCATTTATGCATAATAAAATTATCAAACTTCAGTGCACCTTGAAAGTGAAGGGCTCTTCATCCAAGGAATTTTAGTTTCCCTACTCTTCCTTGGATCTAGTGACTATCTCTTGTGCCTACCAATATTGTATTACATTTTTTTTTTCCAACACGTAGGTCGTCTCCCACTGAGGCAGTGTAACCCAAAAAGAAAGAAAATCCCCAAAAAGAAAATACCTTCATCATCATTCAACACTTTCACCTCACTCATACATAATCAATGTCTTTGCAGAGGCACTCAGATATGACAGTTCAGAAGTCTCTCCAACCTGCCAATATCCCTTTAATGTGCATGCATTGTACTTTCCATTTCCAGGACTCAAGTCTGGCTAACTGGACTTATTACCAGTTTTATTATATGGCTACATTATTTTGCAACACAAAAAGAAATAAAATAATATGTAGTATCTAACCTCATTATCTCCCATTGCTCATCCTCTACATGATTCTCATGCGATTAGCACTTCCCCATGAATATAATCACAGTAACTCAATTGAATTTAAAAGCTCACACTACAGATACCTTTTCTGATGGATTGTAAAGATAATTTCTTACAATATTTCAAATTCCATAGAGAAATGGGAAAGAATTCTTCCTCTGTAAGCCGTGTGTGTCATAAGAGGCGACTAAAATGCCGGGAGCAAGGGCTAGTAACCCCTTCTCCTGTATACATTACCAAATTAAAAAGAAAAGCTTTCGCTTTTCTTTTTAGGTCGACCTGACTCGGTGTGATATGGCCGGATTGTTGAAAAAAAATGTTTAATTATCTGACTTTTTTGGGTTATCCTAGGTTCTCTACACATATGCTGCTATGTATGATAATCTGTGTAATCTATGTATTTGTGTATACCTGAATAAACTTACTTAGCAAGTTGCAACAAGCGTGAACTTACTTGAAACTTAAATCCTGGTGAACTTCCTGTGCTCAGAGTATAACGCTTAATAGGAATCTCTTTCCCGGAGTCGGGATCCGAAAATGTACCAAAAATGTCCTCGGAAATCTCCATGTTAAGAATCTGTAAATAATACACAAATTATATAAGGAAATTTCTCGGTTGCAATTTTAGTTTCTGTTAGATTTTTGCACTTTCTTGTGAATATAATATGATTATACCGTATGATTATACCATATGGTTATATCAGTGAAAGGTTTATATATATGTACTCAAGCCTGCCCAAAGTCATGTTAATCAGGAAGATCGTATTTTGAGTTGCAATGGCTACTAATACCTGAAAGGAAATTATTATAATCAAAAACTAAGCACTAAACCCACAAGGGCCATACAGTGCAGTGCCTGTAAGGAAAATACATTTAACAAAGCGGCAAATATACGTACAGAATCTGTTAATGAATGCATTTATAATGGCCTGATTTGTTAGGTATTGAGGTGTTAAATTAGCTTACATGTGATTAGTGAGGAGTGGTTCTTCAGCCTGTAGTGAGGGGTGGTTCTTCAGCCTGTAGTGAGGGGTGGTTCTTCAGCCTGTAGTGAGGGGTGGTTCTTCAGCCTGTAGTGAGGGGTGGTTCTTCAGCCTGTAGTGAGGGGTGGTTCTTCAGCCTGTAGTGAGGGGTGGTTTTTCAGCCTGTAGTGAGGGGTGGTTCCTCAGCCTGTAGTGAGGGGTGGTACCTCAGCCTGTAGTGAGGGGTGGTACTTCAGCCTGTAGTGAGGGGTGGTTCCTCAGCCTGTAGTGAGGGATGGTTCCTCAGCCTGTAGTGAGGGGTGGTTCCTCAGCCTGTAGTGAGGGGTGGTTCCTCAGCCTGTATCACTGCTGGCACTGACAAGGTATGTTCTCACGTAGTAGTTGGTTAAACTCGCTGGGAGTAGAGGGTAAGTAACCATTGTTGTGTTATAGTGTGGGCTGAGGGTTTAAGACGCCTTAGTCTATGCTGGGATGGTTTTATTTTGAAACTTGTCCTATCTGGGACATTATCCTCAGCTCGTTGGGAGGATTCCTAAGCTGTAGGAGGGGTTTCGGGACATGTTAAACCTCGGCGCTGTCTGGGGCATTTAACCTCAGCGTGTGGTGGTCCTGGGACTTTAACTCGGGTGTTCTGGGACATTTAACCTCAGGCTGTTGAGGGATGTTAACCTCGCGCGTTCACTGTGGCACGACAATTTAACCTCGCGTTCTGTAACTGCTGGGGTAAATTTAAACCATCTGTGGTTGTTGGGCTATTTAAACCCTTGCTGGACGGATTTTAAATGAATTGTTCTCTATCTGGCATTTAATTGTCTGTGCGTCATGGACATTTAAATGTCCAACGAGGATTAACATGCAGAGCGGGTAAATGTCCCAGAGGCCAGGTTAAACTGTCCCAACCAAGTAAATGCCAACCGAGTTTAAATTACTCGAAAATTGAAAGTTAAGACCTGTGCAACATCTGGGTACTTATTGAGAACTTCGGCGCATCCATGACTTTAAATACGTTGTATAAATCTAATTTAAAACCGTAGTGACATTACAAAACATTAGTGTATCAGTCCCTCTTAATTGTTCGTTCACAGCATTCGTGGTGGAGAATAATATACGGAGCTAAATGGTACAGAGGCGTTAGCGCCCCAAAACATGGCACGGATCCTTTTCAGTGTGAAGTAGCACTGTTCCCTGTTCTAGTATCTGAGACCTACGTTCCTCCCATGGAGAGCAATGTACTCATCATCTTTGGGACAAATTGTTCCTAGCCTTACAAAACATAGGCTAAGTCCCTCTGGTTTCACAGATTGGGAACGAATCGGAGCAAAGGTCAAGAGACTGGGATGGCATAATAGCCGGCTTTCAGTGGAAGGGCCGTCTCCGTTAGAGATCGAGAACCTAGTCTCACTGGTAGGTGGAATTCCCTCAGTGGGAAATTGGTTCCCAGCCTACCAAAGCTGGATGGTTTGCCAGAATGGGAACGATCGGAGCAAAGGCAAGAAGACTGGTGGTTATATAGGCGTCAGTGGAAAGGGACGTGTAGCAGACGAGGACATAGTCACTGGTAGGTGGGATTCCCTAGTGGAAGTAGGTCCTACCTAAAGGGATGTGTTAGTTGTAGCCGTGAAGAAGGTCTTGTAGACCACCATGGGTCGCATCCTGGGGTAGAGGACCAACAAGCCACAATGTAAATAAACCAGAATGGCTTTAATGGGTTATCCTGGAATACAAACCATCTTGGTAAATAACACCAATAACAGTTTTCGCCCTCTTTCCCTTTTCTTTTTCCATCTTTTTTTCCTTCATAATTCCCTTTTCTTCCTTGTTTCTTCTCCAGAGGTGTTATCAAATTACCATACGTGCGCCTCTGGCAAGACAGTGATGGAGTGAATGATGATTATAGTGTTTTTCTTTTTCAGGTCACACTGCCTCGGTGGGAAACGGTCGATGTGTTAAAAAATATGTATAAAATAACTACCATAGGTATTACCCCTCTAAGGAGAGAGGGAGAGAGAGAAAGGGAGAGGGAGAATGGGTGGGGCTAAAAAAATGAGATGATGGGAGAGGGACACGAGAATGGGGGTGCTTCCCCTCTCTTCCACCCCTCCCTGTACCCCACCCCTCCATCAATCGATACTCGCAAGTCTCCCCTCCCTCTCTCCCCTCCCTGTCTCCTCTCCCTGTCTCCCCTCCCTCTCCCCCAACACACGACCCCTCATGTCGCCGGCCGGTGCACGCCACTAGAGTATCGTGAATAGTAAAACTGGTGTTTTGGCGAAGCTGGGGTGTTTTGGCGAAGCTGGGGTGTTTTGGCGAAGCTGGGGTGTTTTGGCGAAGCTGGGGTGTTTTGGCGAAGCTGGGGTGTTTTGGCGAAGTTGGTGTTTTTGGCGAACCTAGTGTTTATTGAAGCAGTTATAGCCCGGTGCTATAGTCTGTTGTTAGAACACGGTGTTAGAAGAACACGCCGTTACAGTCCGGTGTTCCCCTCAAGGGAGGTTCCTTGACGCTGGCGAGGGGCTCTTGATCTAGGGAATTGGATCTGTGCTCCAGTTCCCTGAATTGAGCCTGAATACCTTCTACCCCCCCCCTGCATGCGCTGTATAATCCTACGGGTTTAGCGCTCCCCATGATTATAATAATACAGTCCGGTGTTACAGCATGGTGTTACAATATTATCTACGTCGGTTTGCGTGCGGCCAACAGTAACAGCCTGGCTGATTAGGCCCTGATCGACAACGAGGCCTGGTCACGGACCGGGTCGCGGGGGCGTTGACCCCCAGAACATCCCTCAAGTATATTACAGGCATTCTCCAGGTATACTACAGATATTCTCCAGGTTTACTACAGATATTCTCCAGGTTTACTCCTATACTTCAGGTATACTCCAGGTATTCTCCAGGTATACTCCAGGAATACTCCAGGTATACTCCAGGTATTCTCCAGGTATACTTCAGGTATTCTCCAGGTATATTTCAGGTATTCTCCAGGTATACTTCAGGTATACTGCAGGTATTCTCCAGGTATTCTCCAGGTATACTACAGGTATACTACAGGTATATCCAGGTATACTCCAGGTCTTTGGTAGTGAACAGTTCTCTGGCGAGTCACAGAGCCTCGTCTGGGAGCCACTTCGCTCTAAATGTAAACTTTCTCTGAATTATTAGTCTCTGTGGGTTAATAATCCAGAATAACAACCCAGGATAACCCGAGAAAATCTAGAAATGTGGCATATTACCATCAGGGAGGCCTTTAGTCCTCCCCCAATATGCCACCCACTACGGACTATTGTCCAGGCTGTCCTTGATAACGGACACACTTCATAAACTATATGATAATTGTATGATAATTTGTCCCCTTTCTCTTTATATAAAGGGACTATGCATGCTCTCCGCCAATCCCTAGGTACCTTCCCCTCTTTCATACATTTATTAAATAAAAATACCAACCACTCCAACACTATATCCCCCCCTGCTTTTAACATTTCTGTCATGATCCCATCAGTTCCAGCTGCTTTACCCCCTTTCATTCTACGTAATGCCTCACGTACCTAAGTACGTAAGTTAATATACTTAAGTTACAGTGAACTAGATAAAGCTGATAGGCCTAGTAATACAGTAATTGTTTCTTCCTAGGCAATACTTATGTAACACGTATATTAACATGTAACTCAATAAAATCCTGTTTATACAAGGTAGTGTAGATTTCAGTAAGGGTTGCAGTTGATTACAGTGGGATTACAATTTATAACAGTGGGATTACAATTTATAACAGTGGGATTACAATTTATAACAGTGGGATTACAATTTATAGCAGTGGGATTACAATTTATAGCAGTGGGATTACAATTTATAACAGTGGGATTACAATTTTAATAACAGTGGGATTACAATTTATAACAGTGGGATTACAATTTATAGCAGTGGGATTACAATTTATAACAGTGGGATTACAATTTATAACAGTGGGATTACAATTTATAACGGTGGGATTAATGAATACATTAGTGGCTTACTGCTAGGTGAACATAGTACAAAATACATCAATTTCTTTCTTTGGAAAGGTTACAGTGTGTGATTACATTTCATAATTTGATTCGTACATAGAAAGGCACTATCATGCCGGGGCATTTCGAGCAGTAAGTTTATTCAGGCATACACAAATACAGTTACATAGATTATTATACATAGCAGCATATGTGTGGAGAACCTGGGATAACCCAAAAAAGTCAAAGTGACTTATTTCCATTGGAGTGTTTGATTGTTCGTCGTCTCCGGTAACGTGATATTGTCTTCCAGAGAATGTAGATGCTGGTGTGGTGTCTTATTTTTTTTTTTGATTTCGTAGGTTATCCAAGAAAAACAGAAATTGAATGCCTCGGGGATATGGTTTTAGTGATCTGATGTGAGAGGAATCTTCAAGAATTAGCACATTTGCCACGTAAGATTTTGTGTAGCAACGGCTTCCTGCGGGAGTGTTTCCGCCGCCTGGGGAAGACTAAGCCTAACTTGGTAAGAATTGATTCCTGTGATTAGGCAACTTGCTACGTGGCAGGCAGAGAGGGTCGAGTGAGGGGAGAGTGAGAGAGAGAGAGAGAGAGAGAGAGAGAGGAGAGAGAGAGAGAGAGGAGAGGGAGTCAGTACGCTGGACGTATAGCAAGAGAACACACCCATCCCCTCTGGCCTTCCCTCTCATACACTCGCTCCTTCCCCTCTGATACACCCGGGGAAGGTGTTGGCTCCTGGACCTCAGGTGTAGATTGCTTTCTGCCTCGAGTAGTGTGCTTCTGCAGTGGTGCAGCACTGCAATGCTGCTCTAGGATCGTCCAAGATGTCGTGAGTGGTGTGCGGTGTTTGTTATCGTTGGCAGTCTGCCCAGCACCTGGTCCCCTCACCGCCCCTCGTTCACCCCAGGTAAATCTCTAGCACCTCACATTACCTTTCTGAGCCTCACTCACATGTGCCTGTCTTTATAACCTTTGTTGTGTATGTATGGCAATAAGACACAGAGCTTGTTAATTGGGTTATCACACTTTAAAATATACATAATGTACTTTTTATGTGCAAATAACATCAGTGTCATCAAGACTACTAAAAAATGTATGTTATGTATCCAATGCTAAACAGAAATTTGCTTATGTATAGGTGATTGTACACAAACACGTGCATGTGTGTGAGTGGGGGTTTGTGTGTGTGCGCACCTGTACTCACCTAGTTGTATCTGTATAAATAACTCACTACAACTGTGACTAGATATAAATATGTAAATAGTTCATTACCACTGTAACTTGTCCATTACCACTGTAACTTGTCCATTACCACTGTAACTTGTCCATTACCACTGTAACTTGTCCATTACCACTGTAACTTGTCCATTACC